CTGCTGTTTTCATTCTGCCACCTCAGGTGCTCTGAACCCTACTTTCGCACTATTTGTGAAAAGAACGTAAATAAAATTGTAGGATGGAAATAAACCCTATTATATGAAGGAATCTAGCAGGTCATTAGAGTTTTTTTCTGTTTTTCTTTGCATCGTGACTTTTCTAATGACCCAATATTAGAAGCCTAGAATCATCTTCTTGCACATAAGCAGACATACAAACATATTCCTTCTATTCACTGGTGTGTGTGCCCTAGGGGACCTCTCATGTCATTGTCCAATTCCCGTTCTATGCCCGAAGATTAGTAAGCTAAGACATAGCATTCGTTCTAAAGGGTTTGAAACCACCATCCTAACTTGGAGCAGACTTCTGCCATTAGACGGGAGGAAGGAGGCTTGGTTTCTGCACTGCCTGGCTTTCTAATTTTTTCTCAATCCTGATTACCACAGTCAGCAGTCAGAAAGGACCTCTGAGCCAGGTATGGTAGTTTCAATAGGTTATCTTCCTCTGTGCATTTCTACATATTCTTTGAACAAGTATCTGTCTACCTTTGACATTTGATGTCACCCATCACTGCATAAGAATGTTATGTTTGCCCTTAAAATGAAAACTCTCCATGAGGTACTTGAAGTAAACACTATCGACATGACCGTGTTAGTCACTAAACTGACCTTTATGTAAACCACACCCTGATCTTCCTTCAGCTGTGAAAATCCTTCAGTTGTCTGTTCATGAGAAAAAAGGAGGGCATAGTCCCACCCTACCCAGCCCCTAAACTCTTACCTCTCAATCTGAGACAGGAACTTGGTCTCGAAGATTCCTCTTGTCTTGAGCCTCTCTGAGATGCGACCACGGAAGAGCAGCCCACGCTTGGTGAAATCGATGAGGATGTTCCGGACAATCTCACCCAGGTACATGCCACTGATCATTTTCTCAAACCTGCCATGCCAGTAACGTTTATGGAAGTTAAGTAGGAAAGGGTGAGGGTGTGTTGAGACAGAGGAAGCCACAGCTCAGTGACCCCCAGTGCACTAGACGGTGAAGGGCACACGGACCGCCCCTCACTTGGGGGAAAGGAAATGCTGTTGACTCCCTTGGCAGGATTCCTGGTGTCCTCACACACTGACCCACATCTCAAAACTGACCACGGTGCCCAAAATTCATGGGGCTTTTGGGACTGAACCCACCTAGGATCATCTCATTTCAAGAAGGAGCACACGTCCACACCTCACTGTGCTTCTAGAAGCAGCGAAGAATGTGAAATCCTAATCCTTAATTTCACGAGGCATGTGGCATGCTTTCTCTGGGACTTAATCATTATCACTCAAGTAAACAGTCCAGCTATAGACCCCTATCTTGGCCACTGAACATGAGTGTGTAGACTTAAGGATCTTTAGGACCTGCATAGTGCCTTTTAAAAAGGTGAGGTCCCCTTTCAACCAAGACTCCATTGTCACCCCATGTTGTCTCATGCCAGCTGCTTCCTTCATTCATGGGACCTGGCTGGTCCCTGGAAGTATCTCAGTCTGTGACTTCTACTCTAGGTAAATGTTTGGCAAAGTGTATTCTACAAAACTAGGGACTTCGCTCAATCCAGTGAGGAAGCACTACAACATCATCTTCCTAGTGGAAAGTGTGTTGGCTCTTAAGCTATTGTCTCTCACCCCAGACCCTGTATCCCACCGCACACCAGGGACACAGGGGCCGGTGCTGTTCTGACAGTAGAAAAAGCTAGATGCTGGATGACCAAGGGAGGAAGGGAGCATCTGCTCCTGTCGCTGTCAGCCCATGAATGCTTCGTCATGCTGGCAGCACTAGATGGTTCAACCTTCTCTTTGTTTTACCTCCTAGTTCCTGACCCAGATTCTCATACTCTCCAGCCTGTTTTCCCAGCCCTTGAAGTGGGAGGTGCTGTTTATAGTTTCTAATCCTGAATTGTCTGGGTGTATTTGACAAGAACCCCTTTCCAAGAAACCTCTTCAGTTCACATCTCAAGGGATGAGCATCCTGGGAGATGCCATTGTAGAGGGCTGGGTCGTTCCTTGCTGTCTGGTTCTGGGACCCGCACCATGGGACCAAACAGGTGGGTGCCTACCTCTGTTTGCCGGGGTTGAGGGAGAGCTCATCCACAGCCACGTCGAATTCCGTGCGAAAGTCGTCCAGGCATCCATTGTCCCCGAAGGCCCCCCACTCCATGTTGACACACATACGTCCCTCTTCGCCCTCTACCAGCTCCACGTTGCGCATCTCCTCCATGTAGCAGGCGTTGCTGCCCGTGCCTGCCAGTCACAGAAACGCCAGGCCTCACTCAGCACCCGCTCCCATCCCCCAGGACCGTGCATCCCCCCTTGCAAAGACAGCCCAGGTCCTCACCAACAATGAGGCCGACTTCACAGTGAGGGTCTTCATAGCCACAGGTCATCATGGTTCCAACCGTGTCGTTCACCACAGCCACCACATCCAGGTCAAACTCCTAAGAGGGCAGAAGTAGGTGCCTAGTTACAAACAAACCCTAACGGTCTCCTTTCAGACTTTCGCAATAGAGATTTATATGTAAATAAACTATAACTCCTGGGGCCAGCAGGTGGCATGGTGGTTAAGGGTGCTGGACTCCCACATGGCTGATCATGGTTCAAATCTTGGACCTGGCAGCTTGCTTTCTCACTAGCCCTCTCTCTTTTTCCCTCTCTCTTGCTCTCTTGCTCTCACTCTGTTCCTCTCTGGTCAAACTAAAATAAATAAAGTTGAATAAAATAATTCTAAAATTATCCTAATCCAAGCTCATTCTCCTATTTCATTCAGGTCTCAGCTCACATGTCACCAGCTCAGAGAGCCTGTCTCTGGTCATAACATTTAAGATGCCCCTTACCCAGCCCACTCAATCTGTTCTCCATGTTCAGCTTTGTTTTTCTTCACATTTACCATCAGATCATGGGTTTATTGGTTTATAAAAAACTTTGTGGTGGGGCCGGCAAGTGGCACAGTGGTTAAAGGAGCTGGACTCCCACATGGCCAACCATGGTTCAAGTCTCGGACCTGGTGGCTTGCTTTCTCACTTCTTCTCTCTCTCTGTTTCTCTCTGATCCAACTGGAAAATAATAATGATAATAATAATAAATAAAGTTAAATAAAATAATTCTTTAAAAAAAAAAAAACCTTTGTGGTCACTCCTAACTTCCCAGGGCTGAGAACAGGGTTTGACCCAGAGTGGATACTCAATAATTGCCAAGTGATTAAGTTCATCTTCCCCCTCATCAGCGCAACTGCACACAACATCGCTCCCGTGCTCTAAACACACACATCACTGTGGGCATCGCAGATCTGCCCTCTCAGGCCTGGAATGCGTCTCTCCTACCTCTCGCCGGTGGATCGCTTCCTTCAGCAGGGTGACCACGTCCTCACCCTCACAGCCAGATGCCTTGAAGCCTTTTGTCCATTTGAGGAGGATGCTCTAAAAAATCACACATGAGCGAGGCAGAACATCAGAGAAGGAATCCTGGGTCGTCTCCGGGGCTCCGGCTGTGCATCTAACTCAGCCTCACGGGTCAGACAGATTCCCTGGGGCAACCAGTAATCTCAGCCACAAATGACACTAGACCTGCTCCTAAGGCAGCTACTTAGACTGACTGAGCACCTACTCTGTGCCAGGTACTAAGCTAGGTGCATCCCGTGTGTGACACCATCTCATCTTCGGTCACCTGTGCACCTTAGCATCATCACGCCCACTTCACAGAAACACTGAGATTCTGGTGCGACTTGCCCCAGGCTACAGCATGGAAGAGAGGAGCAGGACTTGCCCCAGGCCTGCCGACTCCAGAGAATGGGCTCCTATGCACCTGCTGGGAGACTTATTCTATGTGCTCGGTTCCCTCACGGGGCTAGGCAGTTCGCCCTGTCCTCTTCCTATATTTATAGCACGAGGTAATTTTCAAACTCCAGTATCCAGTGAGCAAGCGCCTGCCCCTGCTGGGGCCATGTCTAGGCTTCAGCACCATCTTCCATTCCTCTGTGCGGGGAAACTCCTGGCTCTTCCTCAAAGTCCTCTGCAGGTCCCTCATCTTCAACATGGCCCTTCATGCCACAGGGCACTCCAGGAGCAGATGCGCAATGGCTTTGCACATGGGAGAACGCTGTGAACCTGGTACTCTCTGCTGCTGCAGCTCCCAACTCCCGGCTCCCCCACCCGGAAGGCCCGTGTCCACACGTGGGCTCCGTGCTCACTAGCTAGCAGTTGTACGGTCTCTGCAGGTTTTGCTCTGGGCTCCATGCCCATCAGCTTGCATTTCATTCACATCCACCTGGATGTTCAGAGCCAGGAGAGTCAGAAAACCAGAGCACCTCCCTGCCGAGCGCTGGTTTACACACCCATATCCAGGCAAGCATGTGCTTATCTCCTCCATCCCCTCTCTCATCTATGAGTCAGCGTTTTATCTCGGACAAATTTTTGTGTTTGGCACTGTAAAGTTTATAGCATGTTTCATTAACATTATTTCAGGTGGTCCTTAAGCTTATTATTAGGCCCCAGCAGCTGGGGGAAGGGGGGGCTGGCCCAAGGCCAGCAGCTAATCAGCGCACCTGGAGGCCTTTAAGCTCCCAGCGCCTGCTGATTCTCCCTCCGCAGGACACCTCCCCAGGCCCACCAGCCACAACAGTCACCTGCTTTATCGGCTCTTATTTTTATAATTCTAGATGGCATGCCTGCTCCCTACAGAAAATGGGAACATAAAGAATAAAATCTAGTACAATGACCAAGAATTTCACAATTCAGACAGACGCAGTTAAGAGGCCTTCCAGTTTACCCAATAAGTACATAAATAAATAGATACATGCACGCTGGCAAGGAAAGTAAGATAGTGCCGGTTTAAAAGTATTTTATTAGGACGCCTAGAAAGATAGTCACTCGACTATGCTTTAATTTTCCTATTAACCATACTTTTCTATTTCTCTATATTAAAAAGAAATTGCAATTTTTAAAAAATGTTTGCCAAGAGAGCATGTGTCCTCACCAGAGAGAGACAGAGAAACTGAGAAAGCACCCCACATAGGGGCATCACACCACGATCTCTTCTCCATTTCTCCCTCCTTTCTGGATTTTGGGCATGCACACACACATGCCAGGCATGTTTTTCAAGCCACCAGATCCAGGACTCCAGTGGCACAGTCAGCCATTTGGGATCTATCTTCCTTAACCACCATGCCACTGGCTGGCCCAAGCGATTACAATTTTTAGAGAAAAATACTTTAAAAATTTGGGTCAGGAGGCAAACAGCACAGTGGTAAAACACGGCATTCTGTAAGGCTGACCTGCGGAAGGGTCTGGGTTCACATCTAGAGCCCTCCCTGGGTATGCTGAGCATACACCTGCTCATGTTCCAGGACTGCCTGAGACTAGGGACGGGCCCCCAGCATCAAGACCCTTTTGGGGATGCTGTGCCTCTGTCTGCCTCTCTCTCACTTGTTCACAGGAGGAGCAATAAATAAACTTTTTAAAAAGTTTTAGGAATCAGCAGTTGGTATAATAGCTATGTCACTGGATTCCCATGTCATCAACCGCAGTTCGAGTCCCGGACCCAGTGGCCCATGTGCGTGCGTGCCCAAGATCCTGAGAGAAGAATGGAGGAGAGCAAATTGCAGCATGGCCATCCCCCGTGGGGGGTGATTTCTTGCTTTCTGTCTCTCTGTCTTTCTGGCAAGCACACGCGCCCTATAGCAAAAAATCTCTTTAAAAAAAGTTTTAGTTATTCCACTAATATTTTCCCACGTCATTGAATTTCTTTTTTTCTTCAAATGAACTCTTAACTGAGACTGGGCAATGAATGCCTCAAAATGTAACTATTAGGATGTCGGGAAAGTCATAACATAGTATTCTGTTTTTCTATGCAAAAATGTGTCATGACTTTCCCGACAACCCAATATTTCCTGGCTATTGAACAATTAGGTTTGTTTCTAATACCTTTGTTATAAGTAATGTTCCATTAAATGCTGCATAAATATTTATCCACATGGCTGATCTTTCCTTTTGCTGAACTGATACAAATGTAGAGGTTTTGAAAACTTAATGCATTGACACACACAAAAACAATGTGTTGAGACAAAGGAATCGGCAAAGTTTAAAGCAACACAGACTGGTTTGACACCAGATGGATGTCAGTACGTGTTGGGAAATACTGGATCATGCAGGGTTTTCATTGCGGAACTTCCCGAAACCCAATTATACTAATGCATGGGGCTGGGGAGTAGAAGGCACTTAGAAAACTTAGTGAAGCAACTCTGTGTCAGTGTTCCAGGAACCCCATGGGGAATGCCGGCCTTTGCCCACGACTGGGGTGGGCTCCTTGGCTGTGGCCAAACTAATTCTTTCTGTGACTTATTCCCACTGCCAAGTCCTTCTCCATGCTGGCCCAGCCTGTCTGCCTTTCCTGCCTACCTTTCTCTCCTCTCAACTCAGTCCTCTGACTCGTTCCAAGGATCCCCCAGCCTCCCTTCTCCATGCTGGCCCAGCCTGTCCGCCTTTCCTGCCTACCTTTCTTTCCTATCAACTCAATCCTCTGACTCGTTCCAAGGATCCCCCAGCCTCTCGGGGAGGTGCCCAGATTCACATCACGTTGCACGTCCTCAGTGCTTCAGCGCCAATTGGTGCCCCACCTCACACAGTAAGTAGCTCCTCATGTTCTGAGCTTGCTTCATCAGCTCAGCTTGCTTAGTAGCATCTAAGGCAGGAGGCATGATGTTAAACCTGGCACCTGAGGTGAGCAGGTGGGCTTCCACATGCCTGAGCCATAGAGAAACAACTGTCTTCACAATGGCATTCTGATTTCCAATACACTAGTCATCCACCAGATCCAAGGACTGCCTGCTCACTTCTCCATGTCTGGGCACTTTTGTGTACAGAACACCTGGGGTGCTAGCTCTTCACCCACCTGCTTCATTCGTCCAGGACAAGCTGAAGGGGACTGAGAAACCCAGAAGACACTAAAAAGAGCCTGGGCTTCCAGACAAAAGGAGATGAAATAAAAAGCCCCCAAGCACACAGCAAGGGCCTAAGAGCAGACACTCTGGCATCAGGAAACCAGAATTCAAATTGTGGCTTGGCCACTGTGAGCTACACGACCTGGAGCAAGATAGTCGGAACCTCTGTGGACCCTATTTCCCTTTCTGCAAAATGGGTTTACCTTGTATAGTTGCTATGAGGGTTCAATGAGCTAATGCATGTGGGGAGCCTAATATACTACTTGGCATAAAGTGCTTAAACGATGTTAGTCGCTAATTTTGCTTAGTATCATTGTCATCATCCCCAGAAATGTTATGGCCAAGTAACCTACCTAACATCCACCAGCCTCAACTTATTCATTCCCATCAACCAGCCCCTTGTCTCCACTGTCACTCTTGCCCTTTTTTCCCTCCTCTCAGCTCAGCTTTCTCCCCACTCCAAACCTGGGCTAGTATAGAGTCACTAAAGCCCATAGGAGAGCCCTCCTGGGGAGCACTGTTACCTCATCCAGGCTGTTCTGCTGGCAGGGGAAGGAGAAGGTAAAGCCCAGAGGCAGGGACACGCCCTTCATGCCCATGTACTCGAGGAAGTCGGCAATGCACTGGACGATGTGGTCGAAGAGCTGCAGGGAGAAGTGGGGCGCTGAGGGAAGGGCCTAAGGTCCACCTTGCCCTCCCAGGGTCAAGTGCAGAGAGCACTGTCCTTGAAGGCAAAAGGCAGATATCTACCGGGGGCAACTCCCAGAGGTGCTAGCCTGCCTCACCTCGTCTCCTGTGCCATGCATGACCTCCTGCGGGATGGAGTAGATCTTGTTGTGCATCTCCACTCCGCGCCACTTTCCATTCCGCACGCGCACCAGCAGGACCCGGAAATTGGTTCCTCCAAGGTCCAAAGCCAAGAAGTCTCCTTTTTCTGAAAAAAATAAGCCCAGGAAGGTGAGAACTTGGGCATCAGCCCTCGCCACACAGAAAATGACAGAGCCTAAGCACATGACAGCAGGGGTGGGGTGGTAATTCCTCCCTCGGGCCCCTGGAGCCACAGTGAAGAAAATGGATTCCCTGGGACCATATCCCTGCTGGCTCCTTAGTATTATCATTTTCAAATGATCCCAAGTGGGGGGGCTTCAGAAGTCACAACGAGCTCTGCAGAACATGGGGAATGCTGACACAGTTCACCAAGGACAACCAAATACACTAGTCATGCTAAATCAAATGCCACCTCGGAATGGAGTCGAGAACAGAGAGAACAGCAGAGACCAGTTCTTTGAAGGAAATCGTTCCAAATGAGAAACCTCTCCTTCATTGTAAATTACAATATGCCACATACCTCATACACAGTCCTCACTCAACCCCAGGGCAGTCCTGGGAAGGGGCATTCCATTTCCCTCTTAAAGATGACTGAGACTTGGGACCATCAGATGGTGTAATGGTTATGTCACTGGACTCCCACATAGTCAACCTCAGTTCAAGGCCCAGACCCAGTGGCTTAAACTTCATGCCAGGCATGTGTGCATATGTGCCCAAAATCCCAAGAGAAGGGATTGCAGCATGGCCATCCCCCCTGGGGAGGTGATTTTTCTCTCTCTCTCTGTCTCTCTCTCTCTCCCCCTGCCTCCCTCATAAGTGCACATGCCCTATAGCAAAAATCTATGGAAAAAAAAAAAAAGATAACTGAGACTCAGCTAGGACATGTCACTTGCCCAATGTCACACAGCCAGAACAGCATGAAAAAGGAATCAAATCTTACCCTCTATCTCTGTAACTGTGCTATACTGGCCTGGTCACCTATCACTCTCTCTGAACTGGAAAAAGACTTCAATTTCTCAGGTGTCAAGATTTACACCAGAGGTCAGAAATCTTTTTTGTAAAGGCCCAGGTAGTAACTTTACACGAGGGGTCAAAAATATTGTTTCTGTAAAGGCCCAACGGTCTCTACTGCAACCACTCAACTTCGCCATGGCAGTACAAAGCAGCTACAGACCACAGACGGACAAACGGGCATGGCTGTGTACCAATAAAACTTTATTTACAAAATAAGCAGTAGGCCAGATTTGGCTTATAGGTCTAAGTTTGCTGACTCCTGTCCCAGAGCAGTGACGGTTGTAGGTGTCGGCTCTGGTACCTGAATTACTGAGTTTGAAGCCCAGCTCTGACATTTTCTGGTTATGTGAACTCAGGAAGGTTCTAAATGCTCTGTGCCTATGCTCTGTCAAACATAGCAGTTAGTTAATAAAATTAACTGATCTTTTTTAACAGTTAACAAAGTTTAAATGAATTAATTCATGCACAGTGCCTTGACACATATCATGAACATTCAATACATTCTAACTGTTGTCACTATTCAGTTTCAGCAGAGGAACCCCTTGGGTGAGCTCACCCAACACTAGAATTTCCTAGCAATAGAGCCGAAGAAACATGCTCTGGTTCAAACCCTCGATGCTGATACCTGGCACCAGCACGTGAGCCCACCACATGAGCCAGTGGCAACCCTGCCATGTACCTGTGCCGTCAGGGGTGGCACACACATAGGTGGGCAGCATCTTGACTGCAGCAATGGCGTGAGTCTCCTTTCTCAGACCTTTCTCCATTTCCACCTTCATCCTCTTCTTGACCTCCAGCAGCTGCTCATGGCTCAGCTTCAGGGCCTCCAGGGTCTTCTGACGGGCTCGCTGTTGGTCAGCCAGCCGGTAGGCCACTGCCGTCACCATGGCTGCCCCTTTGCCACTGCCATCCTCAGAGCGGAGGAAGCGGACCTCACAGTCAGGCACCAGTCGTCGCACAGCCTTGTGAAGACGATTGGCAAAACTAGAGTCGCCCAGATGGAGTAAGAGACAGATATCCATGGTTAGGGTCACTGGTACAAATGGCTGGGCAGTCATCACACTCAGCCCAAATGCCAGGAGTCACCTGCAGGAGCAGATGCTGCCCTGACCATCCCTTCCACTCTCCTTCCCAAACTAAGGGACACCATACAAAAACTTGGAGAGTCAACTATGAGCATTTTCACTGGGTTCACCCCCTACTGAAAGGAGAAGACCTGTCGACTGAGCTACTGTCCCCTGCCTGTGGATACATAAGACTCAATCTTCTTCATCAAGCTGGCCCACAGGCTATGCTTCTCTGCCCATTATGGTACAATCAACCTCTTGGCTGGCATAGTCCAATGGATCAGGTGATTCTGATGTCACCTACTCTTCATGTCCCTTCACTTACTTCATTAGATGCTGCCTGGAAAGACCCGAAATAGAAAATCTAGAAATGCTCTTCTAAACTTGGGGCTTTCTTTTGATGGTTTCTGCCCATGATCCCAAAGTGACCGAACAGCTAAAGACAACACACACAGTCAACAAGTAACCCCTAGGTAGCAGTTGCTTTAAGCCATGGTCTCCAGGTCCCATTAATCTAAGTGTGGTGTGTGGACCAGCAGCCTCGCTGGTCTGTTAGAGACCTTCTGAGCTAGAACCTGCCTCTTAACCACATCCCAGGTGATCTGTATGCATGTTCAAGCTTTTGAGGCACTGGGCTAGAGCTGGGGGAGCTCAGGGCTAGACCTTCTGTACCAAACAACTAAGTCAATGAGGGTACACTGGCCTGGCACTCATATTGTACCAAAATGATAGAGACATAAGTGAACACAATAGAGAGATAGCTTTCGGGTCCCCACTGGAGTCTGAACATTTTGGTACATATGACCTGAGGGATCAAAACATGGACAGGAGGGGATCAATTTACTACCAGGGTCAGCCAGAGAGGCTGGTAACCCGTGGGGCTGGAGTGGCTGCCGGCAGAAGACTAAGTCCCTGTAGGAACTGCTGGGAATCATGAGAGAATAAAGAATAAGACACTAACTTATAAAGACAAGGTAGAAAAGGGTGCCTAGCAGCCAGGGGTGTCCTAAAGGGGACCCAAGTCACTGGCCGCCTTCAGAATCACCTCCAGCCCCCAATTCCCACTTGTATCCCACAAAGTCTTTTAGCGCCATGGTCCATCTCAATCGTCCCCAAAACACAAAACAGAGCTGGCCTTGGAGTCACTCAGTCCCCAGGTGCTCTGGCTGCTCCCCCCGCCCCATCCCGGGATGCCGACTCACTGGGGGTGTTTCTTGTAGACAGACCCATCGACCCCGATGGTGGAGCGCAGCCGCTCCTCGCCCTTGTTTTCTTTGATGCGCCGCAGCACAGCAGCCAGGGTGGCTGCACACAGGCTGGCCGAGCGGGTGGACACGATCTGGCAGATCCGGTGAGTGGCCACACAGTCTTCCTCTGTTGGGTCCAGGCCCAGCCGTGTTAAGATCTCGCGGGCCTTCCGGATGCCATCCTTCTCCCTGGAAACAGAAAAACAGTGTGTAGGCACATGATCAACTCACTGTGGCCAATGGGAGGGGTGTGGGCTGGCAAGAAAACCCCTCCACTCTAGCAAATTCCTTCTCCCAGTGAGAGCAGACTCCCTCTTTACTGTGCTGCTCGTGTGCGTGTGTGTGTGTGTGTGTGTGTGTGTAGGTAGATAGGTAGGTAGAACAAGGAACAAAACACAACACAGCCACCCTGAGGCTTCTCTGCCAAATAGACCAACAGACAGACAGACAGACACATACATAGTCTTTCCCTGCCTTACCACGCTAGATGCCCTTCCTCTGAGAGAAGAACTACTGATGGGACAATATTTCTGGCACACATTCCGCCAGCACAAGGTACTGTTCCTGGTGCTTTCTACACCGAGTTTTGTGAGTGTGAGTTGGCTCTGTCTTTGTCACGGAGTGGTCAGCCTCTGCCTCAGTCCCTCTGAATGTGAGGCTCCAGCGTGGTGCCCACCTGTCTGTCTCTCACAGTCAGAAGCTACGGCATTCGCCGTGGACTCGGCACTGCGCTCACTGTGTCTAATGAAGGCGAGATGTGCTGTGACATGAGCACATTCTCAGGGGACTAAGCGCCTCACAAAGAGGAGTACTTTCATTCCCCTTGGATATAGCAACAAGTAGGCATAGCTCTTTCAAGAGTTTCCACTTAAGGCAAAGTAATTCAAACTGTCTCCCTGGTCCCTTTGGCACCAAAATAAACTCCTTCTACTACCATCTGATCCCTGAAACAAGACATCCTCAAAATACAAGTGGAAATTTCAAGAGCAAGAAACTATGCTCAACTCAGGATATTATTAACTGAAAAACACAAATTGGACCATCCTCACTCCCATCCCTACCAGGCTGTGAAACTGCAAGTTCAGCTCTGCCTGTTGGAACTAAATGGTAGGCGTATCACTGGGCCACTCGAGGACCTCTTTCTCTGTTATGAAGCAGGTGTCAGGATAGCGTCCATTCAGAGAATTGTCAATAGGAAGCGAAAACTTCAGAAGGAAAAAGAGGCAGAAACAAGTAAGTCGTGAAGAGGGCCTTTGGGAGCCACTAGCATTAAACCCAGTGCAACAGCCCAAGTCCCTGCATTGTGGAGACCAAATACTTCCAGCACTGCGAGCCATCTTGGCAGTAATCATGCTCAAAATTGACAAGAAGAGAGGAATAAGTGGAGTAAAGTTGTGGCCCACTAAGGTCCATATTGTGCAAGACCCTTTTGTGTTCCATGATTAAAGAGCCAAAACGTCTTCCTCGTTCCCCCAATGCCTGTTCACCCTTCAGGAAACCCAGTGAGCAGAGAGATGGCAGGGCTAGAAGCTTACCCTTCAATATCCGAAACGTCTTTGGTCTCAAAGCGTCCTGTGATGAGGAGTTCAGAGCTGACCTTTCCCCCGAAGAGCAGCTCCTCCTTGGCCATCTTCACCAAGATAAGCCTCACTAGCTCCCCCATGTACATCCCACTGATCATCTTCTCAAACCTGCAGGGAGGCACAGACCAAAGAATAAGGTCTCCACTGTGAGCAAACCCCAGCGTTCCTACAGAGACAAGATACACACACGTGAACCGTACTATAGAGACTGGTATACAATACAGGGTTACCTTGTACGGCACTGCCCAGAATAAGATGGGGGTGGGGAGAGTGCAGCTCAGGTGAGCTGGAGGAGCTAGAGGGCTTGGGTTGATCCTGCAGGCTAGTGGGCCTTGAATTAAACTATGGAGAAAAATGGGCCTAAAACAAGACATCCAGGGAGTGTGGAACATTCTAGAACAACCTGAATTTTAGGTAAATTTTTTACATGTACAGTAGTGATTTTTAACATTCTTCTCAAACAATGAAAAGCTTTTTTTAAATGAAATTTTATATGAAGCCCCTATATTTATTTACAAGAGAAAAAATTCCATTTGATTAAATATGGAGCACAGGCCCAGAGGCTCTGACCGCTATCCTCCCTCCCCTTGCAGGCCATTCTTGGCATTCC